ATTTATATTTTAGAAAATTAGATACCACATACATTTCTTGTAACACCCCAACCCGTATCCGACCCGGATACGAATCCGATGTGTCACATTGACTTTTCAAATTCTTTACTTTTACAAGATACTGAAAATTTAATTTCACATTTAAAAATAAAATCCAAATAATTTGTATTAAATAAAAACAATTGGTTTTACAAAACCTATCAGAGCATATCTGATTCAAATCTTTACATTTCATGCCAACTACTTTAATTAAACAAAGTAATGTACTATATACATTGTTTCTGATATGATCTTCTTGTATGGGTATATTGTCTTGTCTGAACTTAGGTTTGCTCTTCCTGCTTCTCTATATATCTGTGTGTGAAACACTCACATGCTAAGTCGAAGACTTAGTGAGGCATAAAATTTCATAAATGACATATTGGAACATGTAACTACATACTCTTACCAAATAAAAAATCATCCTATATTTAATCACTCATAGCATATATGATCATGCATTTCACTAGCAATAACATATAACCTTATGCATGATTAATTCATGTTATTTCTTTTATTAGTTCATAATACATTACTGGGAAAGAAAATATGCAATCACCTAAACATATTCTAAACATGTCATAACATCATATCAAAGAAACCATAGAACAATTTCATATAACAAAAATGCATATATGTACATATTCCTACATTATCATCATCAATATCATTATCAACATCCTTATCATTTATCCATTTAATATATATATTATTACTTAATCTTTGTAAACCATCATATAATACAAACATCACAATACATTTCACAAAACAAATCATATAACATTACACACTGTTTATTCATATTATTTCTTTTAATATCCCATGGTACATTTTTGAGAATTAAAGATATGTGAGTGCATTGAGGTTGTGCACAAATGCTGTCACCACAGCTCGTATAAAATGCACAAAAGTGCCGCGTAGAAATTGCATTGAAGTGCCACATAGAATGTCCCGAAGGACAACATATATGTCTCGAAGGACCGCGTAGAAATGTCCCAAAGGACCACGTAGAATTATCCCGAAGGACCGCTTAGAACCCTCGACTCTTGGCATGTCAATTATACCTTCAGTTCTCCTATCACATACTATAGGCTTTACCATTGATATTATTTATTATATCTTATTTCACATAGACCAATAATCATGTAGATTATGTCACATAGCTTATATTTTATGTTCATGTAATCACGTAAATTATGTCACATATCTTATATCTTGTTCTCATATGTTCACATAGATCACATAGCATATAGAATAACATATAACATATAAATTTATGCATGTACTCATGTACACATTTTCATATAGTCTCGTAGATCAATGCAATATAGCTTATCTCATAGTTTCACATAATCACTTATATTACATGTTCATATAATAGCTTAGGTCAATGACACATAGCTTATTTCACTTTTTCACTTAATCATATAATTTCATTATATCAATTCACATAGATTATCACATAGTCATGTACTTACCTAACTCATGATCATATAGTTTATTTTACATTTTCACATACTTACAAAGATCATATCACATAAATCAATATCATACCGCATCAAATCTAGCAATATATGTTCACATAGAAATCATATTAACACATACTATTATTCATGTAATCATGAAAGCAAAACATTGGAAACAGACTCATCGCAAGTCTAATTTCCATATAATTATATACCATAGTAATATGCACTCACCTTGGCCTCACTAGTCAAAACAAACACTTATGACTCTATAACACTCTTATGGCTTCGAATCATCTTGGACTTGCCTTTGATCTATATCTACACAAATATACGACTTATATGAATATCGTAGTTCAGTTAATATAAATAATTCCTTAAAAATATATGCTACACAAAACACTTAATTTCACACTTTCTATGTGAATAGTATCGGTACCTTAGGTACAATACAGATACTTCTTTACTATGGTATTGATACTATACTTCAGTATCGATACCATTTCTCGATTTTGGAATTTCAATGCTAAAAATGGTACCGATACTTCTACATTGGTATCGATACCCCCAGTACCGATGCTACTACTTCAGTATAGATACTCCATGAATAATTTATCAATTTTTGACTTATGATATCGATACTGTTCATCCAGTATTAATACACATACCCAAATATCATCCATTTTCACTTTGAAGTATCGATACTGTTCATCCAGTACAGATATCCCTAACCCAGAACTGACTCATTTAACTCTAAAATTTCCCAAACTTTGCTAACTTTCTCATCTAACTCTTCTTTAAAGCTTTTAAACTCAACTATACTCTCCCAAACTAACTTATTTCACTTTATTACTCCTAATCATCCAAATTATCAATAGCATACTTAAAATAAAAAATCATATCAAATTTTCAACTTTGTTATAAAACCTTTCTAACCTCATAAATCACTTGTTCTAACTGATGAAAAGTCAAATTTAATCTCAAACTTCATTTACTAACTCTTCCTCAACAACTCACTTAAAGACTTCTTATATTTATTCTCTCATAACTTATCAATCTTTGAGTTTTAAGCAACCTTAAGCTTTCCTTAAGTTTTCCTAATACCTCAAGGATCAAAACCTCTTATAAATTATAAAGAATTACCAATTAGAAGAATTCTTACCTTAGCTTATGGTGAGGACGAAAGGATGAAGAAAATGTCTAGAACTCTCTGATTTCTTTCTCCCATCTTCCACGTAGCTTTATAAAACAACCATAATGGATTTTTAACTATTTTCTTGTCTAATGACCAATATGCCCTTCCATATTTTCTAATTAACCTACACTCAAAATTTAAATTAACTCCTTGAACTTTTCAATTTATCTAATTTGAACACGAAATTTTAAAATCTTACAATTTGGTCACTAACCCGGTCTTTGGGATGTTACATTTTTTCTATTTTATTTTTGAATTCAAGTTTTCACTTATATTAACCAAACATATTTTCTAATTTTCAAAAAATTGAAAATGAAAACTATTTTTTGAAAACAAAAATAGAAAATGAAAATAGAAAATATTTTCTAGAACCAAACGAACTCTAACCTTCTTTTTGAATTAAACAAAATCAAATAAGTTAGCTTCTTTAATGATTAGGGGAGAGTGTACTTGATCTCGGAAACTAGGGGTGTAAATGAACCGAACTTAAATGAATAAGGTTATGTTCGTGTTTGTTTGTTTATGTTTGAAGGTGTTCGTGTTTGTTTAACGTTCGTGAACATGTTCATTTATATGTTCACGAACATGTTCATTAATAGGTTCATGTAGCGTTCGTTTAGTGTTCGTTTAGCATTCATTTAGTGTTTGTTTATCATTCGTTTATATATTCAATTTTTAGTTTTATCATTTCATTTGCAAGCTAAGGAGAAATGATAAAATTACGACTCTGTTGTCTAAACTCCTTAAAATTTATAGTGTAAAATTCAACTTTTACCATGTGTTCAATTTAGTTCCCATCTTCACCAATATTTAAAATCTAAAAAAATAAAAGGAAAAATGAGAACCATGTAAACAAGCTTGTTCATGAATATAAATGAAGGAGTTGATAAACATGCTAGTTCGTTAACATAAACGAACCGAACACACCTATGTTAGTATTCATTCATTTATTAAATGAACATGAAAATTTTTGTTCATGTTCGTTTATTCAGCTTAACAAATGAACATAAACGAATGTTATACGAACGGTTCACGAACAATTCACTGCACGTTATGTTCATGTACACCCCTACGAACAACCTTGTCACGACAAACTCACCTATGCTGATACATTGGGAAAAAATATGATAATACCAAAATTAAGTATCAAGGTAATAATGGTTGAGATCAATAGAAAATGATGGTAATATCATCCATGCATAAATGAGCTTGAAGGGACCCTCCCCTACCGGCATGAGTGCCTAACAACGGGCCTGATGGTGACAAAACCTTAAACCATTATGTAATGACTTGCCTTCTTCAATGTACCTAGGTTGAGAGGTGTGTTAAATTTCATAACAAGCAAGGTATATCCGAGTGGAAATGATATTGAACTTAGTCAATTAAAAGCTAATAATTGTTAAAGCATCCACTATCACTTTTAATTGCTTGTATCTTGATTGATTTTTTCTTACACCTAATTGAATACTAATGGGAAATTCAGAATGTAACAAGTAGTGTTGAAGCATGTCGAGAATGGAGAAAAGGATGGTTGCATAAAGCTTAATGAATGTTACTCAATTTTGGAACTTGTGTTGGTACATTGTATTAGTCAGAACATTAGTAAATACATTTTGCTTGAGGACAAGCAATGTTGTAGATATGAGGGTGTGATAACTCCTACAAAGGTGTTATGTTTCAACTCAAGTAAATAAAAAAAAATGTCTTTACATTACATTGTTTAAGGACGAACAAAGTTTTAGATATGGGGGTGCGGTAACTCGCTAAAAGGAATTATTTTAGGTGACTTTTTTTTTATATATTATTTCTAATACTTTCACAACAATGTTGCTTGATTTTTCTCTAGTTGCAATGAGATGTGGACACGTTGCTTTACCAGGAAGACTGTTGTATCAAGCTGTCACTGAGAATTGCACTATTTTGTTGGTTACATTGTTGCCACAACGACAACTGGAGACAATTGGATTTTGTTAGTCACGAAAATTGCATAAAGATGAACTGTCAAATTTGTTACAACATATATAAAAATGTAGAAAAAAATACGAATTTTCCTATTAGCCAATAATTTGACTTAGAATGAGTATTTATAGGATATTTGGCCTGAGATAATGTATTCTCTTCCCCATGTTTTTATTTTAGACATTAGATTAACTTTTATTTTTGGGAAATCAAAAGGTCTAAACCAAGCAGCTAAAACAATTCTTGGCGGGGATTTGTTGGACAGATTAAAGTCAAAGGAGAGCAATCGAGGAGATGATTTGTAGAACACGATCAGATGACAAGAATATTACAGGACTACATGTATCACAAATAGGACCTCTCCAACAAACAAGACTAAGTAATTCTTCCTCTATGGTTCTCATTCTTTATAAAATGTAACATTAAATTAGACTTCAAATGAATCAAGCATTGCTTTTAAAGTTTTCTGGGATGTAGACCACTGTTTATCGTTAGCGCTGGCTACGAACAATACAACGGTGCTTCCTTTTGCTGTTGCTTTTGCCAGATTGTGGGTACCCGTTAGAGCAAATGGAGTCTCAAGTACGTATTTGTAGTACTGCCAAAACCAAGCTTAGAATGAGTCAAATAAACACCAACTACAATTACACAAATATTGAGTTACACCCATGATATAGATTTATACATTTATATACCCAATTAGACTAATGTATAAAGTTTATTATATTTGATGTAACGTGGTTCACTATTAGTATGTAGATCTTTAATATACATAATCTATAAATTAAGCATATTAATAAAGTATTATAATCCTTACTACTTATTGCACAGCATAAAATAATAGTTACAAGAATCCATCAAGTAGTTTTAGTAGTTATGAGAAATGTTATTCTCTTTAGAAATCCTAAACTATCATAATTGTGTATATGGGTGATTATAAGATAGTATTCGTTCATAATTTTCTTTAACTACTGAGATTAACATTCTCTCAACATATGTCGTTGCTCGAACCAAAGATCTTTATAGAGATCAACTTTTTCTTTTTAACATTGAGATTACTTGATGAGTTCTAAATATTTAATTTTTTTAAATTGTCTGGGTGCCTACAAGACCTATTGTTTAGAACCTTTTTAATCAATCACACTGCAGGTATCCAATTATCTGAACTAGAACTTCTAGAGAAAATAATATTCTTTTTTATCACTTAGATTCCTTTATGATCCTTCCGCATGTAATTCTTAAATAAATGGAAAACATAATATTAGAAAATCTAAAATTAGATGAAATAATGAATGGGTTGAAGATGAAGTAGTGCGTACCGTCTGTTGTCCACGTTTTTCAACGGATGTTTCGAGGAGTTCATCGGGATCATAAGAATTGCCGGTGACGAAAGGACCAAGTGAGGCAATCACTTTCTCAGGGTCTCCAATTTCCTCGATCGACGCATTAGGCTTGTTCGTTAGACGTATCAAAGGAGATGCAACCACTTGGACTTTCCCCTGCTTTTCATCTTCGAACTTCACTTCCACCCATGGTTCCGCACACTTGGGCTGGCAATAATTCCCTGACAATATATTGGCCACTCGAGCTTGCTTCCATGTCGGTGGAATAAGAAACTGGTACGGCTGCACATTTCCTGCAATAAAACTACTAGATCTAAAATTTCAACCATCTTAATCAGAAAATGACGTAGAATTTTAATTTTACGCTAGGAGATAAATTTATAAAATTTTAGTAGACAAAAACAGATTATAAATAGAAAGATTTAAAATAAAAAAATTGAAATTTTCAGTAGAAACAGAACAACTGCACTGGACTGGATACCTGCGCGTAGAGCTGGGGTGTCTTTGGGGGAGGCCTTGAAGACGACGAAAGAAGGGTCGGCGGCGGATGGTGGAAGATATGATCCCACCTCCACTTCTCTTGCTTCTGCTATGGGAGCTCCGCCGAATACGGCGGCCGGCAACATTGCCAGTCCTTTAATGAAAATTTCTCTCCTCTGGACTCGTGTTTTACTATCGATGAGGCTCAGGCTTTCTTGCATTGGTGGTGCATTAGAGATCCTTCTGAGTTTTAATGAAGATTTCGAAGAAAATGAGAATTGTGGTGATAGGAGTGTTGATGAAGCAGAGGCCATTTGTGATGGTAGATTTCGATTCCAGGCAGGAAGCTAGAAGGCTCTTATCTGCTTGGGTGCTTCTCGATAAGGAAATGCCTCGTGCGCGCATCAATGGCCACCTATTTATTTATCTATAGGTTAAACTACACTTAAGGTCACTTTACTATTGACGTAATTCTATTTTGATGACTAAACTAACATCTGTCTTAATTAGGTCACATTGCTTTCAATTTAGTTTCAATCAAACTATTAACCGTTAATTACTAACATAATTGTTGATATGGTAGTTTAGAAAATTTATATATTAACATATTTGATCCTATTATTTACACATTTTATTAATTTAAAACTAATTTTAGTTACAAAATTTAAGAATTCAATAAATAATGACATATGTCACCATCTAATTAGTTAAAATTAATAGAAATAAGTTAGAGAAAAGAAAGATTAAAGCTTGTCTTTTAGGATAGATATCGGCACACCTTAACTATTGAACAAAGTATTATATTTTGTTCTTGGTTGAAATATATATATATATATATATATATATACGGGTGGAGGTAGGCCTTGCCCCCTGCCTAAGAGAATTTTTTTATATACGTTCATTTATTTTTAATTTTAATTTAAATTTTTAATTAAAATTAAGTTAATTAGACTCATGTTTTATCTATATTTTAGAGACTGCCAAGATGCCAGAGGAGTGGAGAGAGTCCACGATGATACCAATCTATAAGAATAAAGAAGATCCCCAACGTTGTGGTAACTACAAAGGTATTAAACTACTCAGTCATACCATGAAACTATGGGAAAGGGTGATAGAGGCTAGGTTGAGACAAGTTACTAGGGTTTCGGAAAACCAATTTGTCTAACTGCCGGAGGTCTTCCACGGAAGCTACTCTCAACCTGGCGTTGGGGGCAGCCTACTACCCTACCTCCCCCTTACTCCATTGCATATGGGAATTGGGTTTTGTTGTTGTTGTTGTTGTTTTATTTTAATTTTAACTAAATACCTCTTTAAAATCTTAAATTGAGAGTTGTACGCTTTTAATTTATATGATATGATGTTATCTTTCTCTTATTTATTTATTTTCACTATGTGCTTTTTAAATTCAAAGAATTCTTTTAAAAGCATGAAAGTAATTGAATATCTTTACTGAGATTTTGAGTTTTTTTTAATCTTTTTCTATAGTTTTTTTTTTATTTTTTGCATTGTTTATATTTTGTTCTTTAATTAATTATGATCTTGTGATTTTATTAGTTGTTTGTGTAATCACTATTTTTACCTTAGCCTCTAACAGCTGCTAACACTCCAACCAAGCCATGGACTCCCTTGCTCCACATTTCAGCAGCTTCAACAACAATTGTCCCTCCACCTATGGCTTCCAGTAGGAGCCAGATGCCCTTCCTCGTTCCAGCACAACAACCACGCTCATGGTTCCAAATGCTCCACGTTGCCGACAGCTCCACCCATGGCCACCAATGCCCCACGCCAATGTTTAGCTCATCATCACAAAACAAAAAGAGAGTGTAATTTTTTTATTTATTTTACATGTAAACTGGGGTTATAAAAACCCTAGAACAATATGTAATTTTACCTGGATCTAGCAGTAATACACACAGAAAAATTAGAAATTAAACATAGCAAAGGCTTTTTTCCATTTGATTTTTATTTATTTTTCAGCTTTACATTTTAATTTTTTTATATTTTTTTCTAAATCAAATAGCAGATTCATAATAATAATAATAAAACAGAAAAGAGAAGAAAACATTTACCTTAGCTCGTGTTGTAGCTTCGTCGGAGTTGGTGTCGTTGAGATACATATGGATTCAGTTTAGTGCTTAAGTGGTTTTTCATGTGGACTAGAGGTTTTGTTTTTCATTTTATAGTTAAAAGAGGGAAAGCTCGAGGTTCTTAAGGGTTCATATTGGTAGTCCGACCACCGATGATAGTGGTTGGTGAGCTTTTTCGATCGAATCATGGCTTTTGTGGAGGTTGGAGGCCCTCGTTTTAAAGAAAATAAGAAAGAAGAGTAGAGAAAGCCTTGGGTTTAGGTTAGTTTAGATAATGTTTTAGCTTTTCTCGGTTGGAAAGAGCTGTGGCTGGAGCAAGGTGGCCACCGAAACGGTGGTCGGCGTGGGGGTTTGTCAAGCCCTTTGATGGGGGTGTAGTTTCGGCTGAGAGTGGAAAATAAAAAAGGGTTGGGTTTAGATTCATTTTTAGGTTTAAAGGTTAATAAATTAGACTATATTAAAAACTTTTGGGATATTTACATTTTAGTCATCCTAAATTTGCCGTGTTTTTGTATTTTAACCATTGGCTTGAACTATTTTGATCTTTAGTTCAAATTGTTGGGCCTTATGTGTTATTTCCCGTTTATATTTTGTTTAGAAAGTGCTATAGTTTAATCACCTATAAGCCCTCCTAGTTTAAGCCTTTTTTTAGTTTGGTCACCGATATACTTTCTTTATTTTTTATTTTCGATTTTTTGCATGCTAATTTCTATTTTATTTCATTTTCATCATTAATTAATTATGTTATTATTTTATTTATGAATATGATGCTATAATTTCAATTTTTTGCATCTTGGTCACTAGTTCTCTCATTTTTTTTTATTTCGAGTTTGACATATTAATTTCATTTTGTTTATATTTTGGTTACTCTTGCACTTTATTTCATTTTAATTTTGGACATGCAAATTTATTTGTTTACATTCCAATCATATTTGCATTTTGTTATATTTTAATTTTGCATGCTGTTTTTTGTTGATTATATTTTGGTCATTCTTGTTTTTGTTATTTATTTTTAGTACAATTTGGTGCTATTATTTATTTATTTATTTATTTATTTCATTTTAGTCCTTTTACTTTATGTTTTAATTTCAGCTTTACATTTTTAATTAATTTTAATTTAGCTCTTTTATATTCAATAATTATTTTAATTTTTGTCTTTAATTTTTATTTCTTTAAAGTTAGTCCTTTAACCATTACTGTTTGTTTTCTATTCATTTCATTTTAGTCCTATGAACTCGACCAATTTCATAATTGGATTAAAGGCAATATTTATTTATTTTAAAAATATTAAGAAAGGACTGTCTTAAAGTAACTAGATGTCTTATTTTGGTATTTTAAAATAAATAAATACCCTACTAAGAAAACTTTTCTTAACATTTTTATTATTATTTTATCAATTTATTCATTTATTTTTTCCTTGACTGTAACCGACTCCTGAACCCGACGCATTTATGGTAAAACGCAGATCAGGAAAGATTGTGTCTGATCAGCCTAAATATTTTTTAAATGATCGGTGGCGACTCTAACCTATTTATTCAAGTCCAAGCCTAATTCTGGGCCCACCCGAAAGACAGCCGTGACAGCTTGGCGACTCTGCTGGGGATAGGTAAGTGAGTCAAGCTGAAATTAATTTCCGGTTGTCTTTTTGAGAGAAAATTATAAGTTTAAATTTTAGTTTAATTATTCGATTCTTATTATTCATCGTTGATTATTTTTCAAGTAAATAGTTGTACTGACTTTTTTTCAATGATTTCAGATTTTTGAAAATGTGGGGGTGAAAGTGACGCCTTCGTGGGAATTTATTCTCCGTATGGGCCTAGCAAGTAACCTTCGGGATTCATATACCTTATGTCTTCGTGTGAATTTATTCACCGTGCGGGTATAAGGGAATGTATCCTCCCGAGTTTAACTTAGTCCACATGAGCTTGTAATGGGCTTAAGACTAAGGGTCTGGCAAGCCCAAGGGGCACCAGCAAGGAGAACTCAGGTACCTTCTTTAGACCCTAAACCAAGAGACTACAAAGAATTAAAGCCCACCCCAAAACCTCATTTCAAACCCTAGTGTAACAACCCGAATATTTACAAAATAATATTTAATTGAAATTGGAGGTTAATTGTGAAAATTGGTAAATTGTTGGTGACTAAATCAAAATTTAAGAGAGTTTATAGGCTATTTTAGAAGTAAAGGAAATCCAGGGACCAAGCCTTGAATTTACCCTAAAACTGTCGGCAGCTTTGGGTGATTATAAGCGTGCATTTGGTTCTGATTTTCAGAACCAAAATGCTCCCAATTTTCCAATCCCATACGTCGTTTCCAACTCCGATTTCGACGCAGTCCAAATTTCGATCGTCGTTTTAAAACCACCGTTGTGTTCATCATCGAGCGTGGAACACATCCTTCAATTTAATTGAAGCGAAACGCTGCCAAACGTCGGGAATTTACAGTCAAAGTCTCGACGTTTTTGTTAGCTCTATCGCTGGGAAAATCTTAAATTCACCGCCGATCGTTGCTCCGTTTACGACACCTCCTGCACCATTGTGTTCCTTGTGTCGTTTCGAGTCCGTCGGAGTCAACCTTGTTCGCCGTCGACGGCGGCGCGTGAGGAGGTGGAGCAGTCAAAGATTCGACCGAGTTGAAATCAAGCTCTCCGCCGTTCAAAAATTTGAACCGATCTTTATAAGTATCTCGAAATCGCTTAGAATAATTTTTAGAAAATTTTCTGGAATTTTTAGACCCCCGGAGGAGGCCGCACGCGCCACACGCGCCGCCGCAGGGAGAGTGGAGGGCTGGAAACCAGTTTGACCGGTTTCGACCGGTTCGAACCGGTTTGACCGGTCTGACCCGACCCGACCCGACTGACCCGACCCAACCCGACTGACCCGACCCGACCGTTGACCGTTACCGTTGACTTCCTTTGACCAAAACTTAAAATGGCTTTGACCGACCCTTAAACGACCGTAAATCTTTTCCGAGTATACCTATTCTGATAGTTTTCGACGTCCCGAATCCGTTTCCGAAGTCCGTTTCATCAAATTCAAACCCGAAGGCCTCCAAATTGACGGTCAAAGTGGTTGACTTTGACTTTGACCAAGAATCTGAATTTTCAAAAATTCATACTTTATGTTTTTCGACGTCTTGATTCCGATTCCGCAATTCGTTTGGCCAAATTCAGACTCAAAATACCCCAAAATGATAGTCGAACCCGAAAAATGCTTATATACTTAAGAATTTTAGCTTTGACTAATTAAGTAAGATTTGGGGCTGATTAATTATTATTGTTTGA